TACAGTGCATGTCCCCCCACTCCAACATTGCAGTGCATGTCCTCCCACTCCATCATCACAGTGCATGTCTTCCCACTCCATCATTACAGTGCATGCCCCACCACTCCAACATTTCCTCAGTAGCAGCTCTACACAACCCCTACTTGCTGGGAGTAATTGAAAACCCTTCAAGATAATTTTTTCTTCTTTTCTTTGGTCTTCAGGGTATGTAGTCCACTGAAAAATTAAAGCCAAATTACCACTGTAAAGTCCTGGAAAGCCATCCCATTTTTTATAGTTATGCCAACAACCCAAACTCGGTTTATTTTAGTTCTTAGATTTTGCTTTTGCTTTTTAGAAAATTAAAATAAAATTGATGGAGTGAGAGTTGTTCACAGAAATCTATCTTTTGGGTTCCTGCTCTACATTTACATAAAGCCTTACTTATATTTCATGGTTTATTGTTCTTTCATACCTCAAACAAAGATGCATACACATATAGACATAATCAAAGTTAGTGATCTTTCATAAAAGGTGGTGTGTGTACACTTTGGCATAACAGAGTAAATTCTGGCACCAAAATGTCCACATTTACACCAGTGTTCTTGTGGTGCAGCTCTCTACCATGATGTGATCTAGTCTGTCAAAAACCTTCACTGAGAGATACATTGGAAGATTTTCCAAGAACTAGAAATCCTAGATTAAAGATAAAATGTGCCTGGGTGGTTTGGTTGCACATTTCAGATTCTGCCTGATGAAGGTATCATTGCCTTAGGATCTGTTCCCGGCAGCCTTGCCAGCAGAGTATGCTCTTAGGGTTTGCAAACTGAGCCCACCCCACAGTTCACAAATGACATCTCAGAGTATTGTAAATGATCTTTTTCCCAGGGTTAGGCGATCAGTCTGTCATTGGGTTACTTCCCCAACTCTAAGTTGCCTATTTTTAGTTTTGGGTGAACATGTAACTAACATTTAATGACTGCCTGTTGCCAACAACATCCATGCTAAAATTTGGTTCAATAGAGGTCAAGGTTTTCCCATCATACTCGGTTAGGTGTTTGTGTCATGTGCAGGGACCACAGGGGAGAAACATGGAAGTCAGGTGGTCACATTCGCAGAACCATTTCTGGAAGGTTTTTAGGAAAAGCTCATGGCAGAGCTGAGTCCCAGATGGCTGCCAGGAGTTTATGCACCCCACAAAGGGGAAGAAATTCCAGAGAAAGGAAGTGAGCAAGTATTTAGTGCTGAGGTGAAGATGCACCATAGGTCCTAGCAAAACACGGTACAGAATGAGTCACAATGTCCATATCTAGGTGAAAGGGGAGGAGGGGAAGTGGCTAAGGCTACCATAGATAGTGAGGGCCTAGATGTGCGTGGCATGGCGAGATATCTGAAGATTAACCTCCATTGGGAGGAAGGCAATGCTGTGGTCATCAGGCAAGTTCATTCTGGGGCTGCTGCTGTGATCAAAGGCAGCAAGAATGAGAAACTGGTGTCTAGATGGTGACACAAATATAGGAAATCAGAAGTAGGGGTGGTTCCAGAAACTGGAGTGAGCTATAGTTAATGATATAATAGATAGAGAACCCAAGAGACTAGGAAGCTTTGTTGATATCTAGGATCTTTGATCTTTACTCCAAATATGGTCAACAAGGGAAGCTGATGTGAGGGACATAATGCCTGTGGACTGAGAAGCCTGTGAGCCCCAGAAGGAAGGATCTAGCTGAGAACAAGATACTTCAAATCTCAGTGACGGATTCTTTTAAAAACAGTGTTGGCCATGAAAGTCTGATAATGCAGGGTTCAAGTTCAGTATGGGCCAGAAGGCAGAGGAGTCACCTTGCTCTGGTTGTCCTGGGTCTTTTTGTGTTGATAATTTGTGAATTTGAAAAGCCAAACAGTTGAGCTGCATTCCAGCAGTTCTCATAGTCGTGGTTTATCTGGGTATTGCTTTCCTAGGGCTGTTGCAAAATGACCACTGGATAATTTCCAAATGTCTTCTCTCACCGTGTATACTATCCAGCAGTCACTGTGGCAATGTGAACGAAGCCATGCTCT